AGTGATTTCATATCCCCATGTCATTGTAATACAATGAAACCACACTTCTAGAAAGCCATTTATGTGGCATTTATCATTATCATCATAATAGCCTTCATCAACAAAGTTGAAGGGCAAGTTCTATAAGACAATTATGAGACTAGCCTTGCTCTATGGGGCGGAATGTTGGGCAGACAAAAAATAGTATACCTATAGAATGAGTGTAGTGGAGATGAGGATGTTGAGATGGATGAGTAGTGAGACAAGAAGGGATTCATAGCTTTTTCCCAATTATCTGGTTTCGGTTACACAAATCCTAGCCCCGCCAGTCTGCTCTGTTAAATGTCATACCCTCAGTGAGGTCCCTATATATTCCTGAACTACTTCCAACCACGTCTTTTGGGGCTTACCTTTTACCCTTTTAATTCCTTCCACTTGGACTAACTAGCACCTCGTAACAAGTGATTTCATCGCCTATTGGTGCCACACATGGCCAGCCCACTCAAGTCTACTCTCTCTAATCTTATCGCCTATTGGTGCCACATCAAAATTTTCTCGAATGGATTTATTTCGAATTCTATCTCTTCTTGTCTTGTCATTCATACATCTCAACATCCTCATCTCTATTACACTCATTCTATAGGTATATTGTTTTTTGTCTGCCCAACATTCAGCCCCATAGAGCAAAGCTAGTCTCACTATTGTCTTATAGAACTTGCTCTTCAGCTTCATTGGTATGAGGTGATCAAATAAAATTCCAGTGGCACATCTTTATTTCGCTCACCCAGTTCTAATTTTGTGAGGTAGTGGGCTAACTTCAGCCTTTTCCTATATATATATGGAAAATATTGAGATTAGCCCACTAGCTCATATGAGCCAAACGACCTAGATTGAATCTAGGCTGATCGGACGGTCACGACCTAATTTTGTATTTTAATTTAAATTTTTGTTCTATAAATCTAAATAACTTAAAATTTAGGCGTGTGTTCTTCAAATATAGGATAATCTAATTAAAAAATAATTTTGAAGAAATAAATTGACCAAAATACCTCTAAAACATTTTTGGGGGTATTTTGATCAATTTATTTTTTAGGAATTATTTTTTAAATATTTTTATTAGGTGCGCCTTGATGAGAAGAATGGACCCCTAAAATTCCAAGTTATTTAGATTTTTAGAAAAAAAATTAAAATTCAAACACGAAATGAGGTCATGACCGTCTGATTGGCCAATTTGGGTCGTTGGGCTCCTATGTTCATATAAGCTAGTGGGTTAATCTCAGCATTT